AAGGACGAAGATGCAATGTCTCGTTTCGAATAAAACGGGTCTCCGGTAGTGATTCGATATAATATTTAGGCTCTTAAAATAGGTAATTTAGTGGGTAGCTTTTTCTAAACAACTTGTCAATATCACCCGTATCATGTTAAAATATAACTGATTTATTTTTAATGCCGTGCCTTAGAATACATATGAGTTTCTTGCTCATATCAATATATGAGTTTTTTGTTGGATTGCGTAAGGTCCTAGCTAACTCGAATGACACTTGTCCTCACGTTCACTATTTTCCATGTCATTGCTTATGCAATTAAATTCAAGGGTGGCTCGTAATCGATTACTGAGAACTATCACAACACATCCAAAACCGAAAATTAAATTTCTGCACAAACGTTGGCTTCGATTGAGCTCCCAAAACATCGTAGCCTGGTTCACTGACCACTATGCCACGCGTGGTCGTCAAATCTAGCAAACATGAGTTAGTTCATATGACCGTGCCCTCCACGTGGTTTTCGTGTTCTACGGATTACGGATAACGGATTTTAGTTCCTACGGATTTAGATTATATCGCGCATATAGCGTACAGAAAATCTTTTTCTGTTTCTTAATAAAAAATACTAGTAACATTATAGGGTTTTCGTGGGAACTTTACCGGCGGCGGTTTGCTGCTCCTGTATTATTGTTTAAATAATGGTTTGAAGTGGATTTTGATATGTAAAAGTTGTGCGATTTTGTGTATTAAGTGTCCGCGTACATACCGCGTACATACGATTCACATCACCACCGTTTCTAATAATAGTTCACATGAACTATTATTAGAAACGGTGGTGATGTGAATCTCAAGATAAGGTGTCTGTCTGCTTAGGTACCTTGAGATACCATCGCCAACTGTCAGCTGTCTGCTGGCTCAAGTTGCCGTCAAAATCTCCCAAGGGCTGCACAATGTGACGCATCAACATATTGTGAAGCAGTATATTATGAAGGATAATTATACATTTTAACTTCAGGCTCAGAAGGACTAGAACACAGAGATGTAAAGCCAGTTATACAAAAAAAAAAACTAGTAACGTTAACCACACCAGCTAATCTCAAAATGACAGTAGTCGAGCGGCGGATTTAGTTTCTCAATTTAGGCAGGCTAATGTCGTAAAGCGTCCTTCCAAACTACAAGTATTAATTATCTAACCTTACACTACATTTTCCTTAACTTACATTTTAAGCATTACAAAGTTCATATATGGAAATGAATCCTTCTTTTTCGACGGAAAAAAAAAATATTAATAAAAAACGGCGAAAGAAAACTCTACAAGTATCTTTTTGTGTAATTTTATAAAGGGAGGGTGACTCACTGGCCCATGACGCAAAAAACAAAGCCGACCTTTTAGGCTCCCTTTTTGCGTCCAACTCGACTCTTGATGACGGGGGGAAAACACCGCCGACCATCCCGCGGTGTGAGTGCTCCATGCCGGATGTGCTGTTCTCACAGCGCTCGGTTCGCAAAGCACTGCTCTCCCTGGACATCCAGAAGTCGAATGGGCCTGACGGAATCCCCCCAATTGTGCTGAGGACGTGTGCTCCGGAGTTGGCACCGGTCCTAACGCGTCTTTTCCGGTACTCCTACTCCCAAGGCGTAGTCCCGAATTCATGGAAGACAGCTTTTGTCCACCCGATCCCTAAAAAAGGCGACCGCTCAGACCCGTCCAACTATAGGCCTATCGCGATCACCTCCTTGTTCTCCAAAATAATGGAATCCATTATTAACTGCCAGCTCATCCGGTACCTTGAGGATCACCAGCTGATTAGTGACCGCCAATACGGTTTTCGTCGGTGTCGATCAGCTGGTGATCTTCTTGTCTACCTGACCCATAGATGGGCGGAGGCAGTAGAGTCCAAGGGGGAGGCGTTGGCCGTTAGTCTGGACATTGCGAAGGCCTTTGATCGGGTTTGGCACAAAGCGCTTCTTTCAAAGCTGCCTTCCTATGGGCTTCCCGAGAAATTGTGCAATTGGATCACCAGCTTTCTTGCAGATCGGAGCATCAAGGTCGTTGTAGACGGTGCATGTTCTGACTACAAGCCTATTAACGCTGGTGTTCCACAAGGCTGTGTGCTATCACCAACGCTGTTTCTTCTGCATATCAATGATATGTTGCTAACTGGTAACATTCATTGCTATGCGGATGACAGCACTGGTGATGCTCTATACACCGGCCGGGCCAATATTTCTCGGGAAAACGTCGCCGAGTACCGGAACAAACTTGTGTCTGAAGTCGAGTCTTTGCTGGACAAAGTCTCGGATTGGGGGCGACTAAATCTAGTCCAGTTTAATCCTCAGAAGACACAAGTTTGCGCGTTTACCGCTAAAAAGAACCCCTTTGTCGTATCTCCTCAGTTTCAAGGCACTCCCCTTCTTGCCTCAGCCAGTATCGGTATCCTCGGAGTCGACATATCGAGTGACGTGCAGTTTCGTGGTCACTTGGAAGAGAAGGCCAAATTGGCCTCTAAAAAGCTTGGCGTGCTCAGCAGAGCGGGACAGTATTTCATGCCGGCACACCGCCTGCAACTTTACAAGGCGCAGGTTCGGCCTCACATGGAATACTGTTCCCATCTCTGGGCAGGGGCTCCCCAGTGCCAGCTCCTTCCACTTGACCGCATCCAGCGCAGAGCGGCTCGAATCGTCGACGACCGAGCCCTTTCCGATCGGCTCGATTCATTGGCACTGCGAAGAGATGTTGCATCTCTTTGCATTTTCTTTCGCATCTACCATGGGGAGTGCTCTGAGGAATTGTTCGGATTAATCCCAGCCGCCAAATTTCACGAACGCACATCGCGGCAGAACTCCCGATACCATCCACACCATCTGGATGATTGGCGGTCCACCACTGTGCGATTTAGAAGATGTTTTCTTCCTCGCACAACTTCCTTGTGGAATAGTTTACCACCAGGGATTTTTCCGGACCGATACGACTTAGGGACCTTCAAGAAAAGAGCCTACTCCTTTTTAAAAGGCCGGCAACGCATCTGCAATTCCCCTGGTGTTGCGGTTGTTCATGGGCGGCGGTAGTCACTTACCATCAGGTGAGCCGCATGCTCGTTTGCCCCCTCTCATATAAAAAAAAAAAAAAAAGCTCAAATATAACACTAGACAGTAATAACAAAAAAATACACACCTAATGAAAACTGAAATGTGAATGTGATAAAAACAAAGTACCTATAACAACTTTAGGAGCTCATAAGTGCATAGCGAAACCAGGCAAACCAGCCTCCGCAATACTTTTGATAGTTCATCCATTAGAAACCCTTCGAAACTACTATGTTTCAAAGAAACTAAATTGTAACCTATTTTTTTATAGGCCTCCACTATAGGTTGTCTAATAAGATAATTACTGCAAGCGTGGCAATGCTAGGCGAAAGAAATCTTACATATTCGAATTCGAAATATAAAATAACCGTTTCTTTTTTTATATAATAATAATAATAATAATAATAATAATAAGCCCAACTAGATGAGAAAACTATATACATAACGCTCATAATAATAATAAATCATTTATTCTGGACCAAACCTTTAGTACATTTTTCACACCCACCAAACTGCGTAACAGTTTGTCGGCGGGATTAGCGCTTGCCTTTATACATTTGGTTCAAATACGTAAGTATACAATTTAATGAAAATAAAACTATAAATAATAAGGTCTAATATACGTAACTGTCAATAGTTATATTAAAACAACAACAAATTAGTTAATATTTTCACATCTTGCGACAACTTCATTAAGGAAAACAGTTTTTAATTTATTTTTTAAGTGTTCGTTTACTTATTCTAGTATTATCTTCTCTCAGCCAGTCGATATTATTGAAAAGTATGGGGGTCAAATACTTGTTGGTTCTTTTGCCATAGTAATTTTTTACTGGTGGTCGTGCGAGTTTACGTTCTCTAACGCTTCTAGTATTGTACCTACATAAAACATAGCAAAGTAGCGATGCAATCAGCTTTGTAGCGGTTTCTAACGGTTGCCGTTGAGCAATCAGTTTCAAAATAGGAGGTTCAGATGCCTGGGTGATCAGTAATCGATTGCTGAAAACAGAATTTGAAAATTCAAAACCGTTCTCGAGATAATCGTGGGACAGGCGGACAGACATCGTGAAATCAATAAGTGACTTCGCAAGCTTCGCCACTTAATAAGGGTTACAAACGAGAACACAAACGATCTTATGGTAAGTGGACGCTGTGGCTTATAGACATCTACATCTATCCTCGATTAAGAATCGGAATGTAGATGCATGTAGATCACCCCTGAGGACTAAGATAGTATGCCACGTTTCCGGTAAAAAGGGCCTCTGGTTCTGTACATTCACCATACGAAACACAGAGGCATTTAGCTGCTATTTTACGTTCGTGTTCTACGAGAACGTGATCCTTCCCTGGTCGAGCCGACCCATTCGTGCTACAACCATAATGTACTCGTAGTTGCAGCGTGGCTCAATCACTTAAATAACCTATATGTATATTGTGTATAACTGTTATTTAAGAGCCAGTACTTCAAACTGGTCTTGTAATTAAAAATGTAAAAGAGAACAACGTATTCCAGTAGGCATTTTTCTAACAAAAGACATGGCATTACATATTATCCTCTCACGCTAGTCGACGTCTTACGGGTCAAGAAGGTTCGTGTAAAGGCTTGAGTAGAAAGTCGGTAGCTTTGTTAGGTATAGTAAAGATATGTATTACGGCATGAAAAGTAACATGTTTAATGCTTAAATTTAAAATTATTTCCGTTTATTTCAAAGAAAAATGTATATTTATAGCAATATTATTTTTCTGTTTAAATTCTTTTATATGTATTATCTTAAAGGAATAATTTCAACAAAAACAAAACGTATCTCAATAACTCTAAATAATTAACTTTTCCATATATTAGAAATTGCAGAGAATTTGTTAAAAATTAGTATTAAATATCTTTAGCTATTACGAGTATGCAGGTGGATTTTAATACCCCAGAAACTCGCATAAGACAAGCGAAGTAGATTAAATGTCGAAACCTCTTTCCATAACATAACCCCGCAACATAAAAAAGCAGGCTCCAACTGCGAGAGTATCCAAAGAGAACGCTTACAACGACAGTACGCAAACAAGATTACAGTCTCCGCGAATTTTAACTTTCAACCAAGCAATTTTTTTAATACGAATTCTGAAATAAGCAAAGTTTTTACTCAAACTCAAAGAGTTGGGTTTGAGTAAGAACTTTATTTTCTTAATACAGTTAACAAATCGAGCGTGGGTTATGCATTCGTTATGTCGACACTGTATCTTTTCTAGTCCAAACATGAAATTTGAAAGAGCTTGATCACGCCGATAAACAGCTAGATTCAAATAATGATTTCCTATATTTATACGGATACTACAGATTGAATAAAACTCATTTTACGGATTAAATTTTATTAATATTAAAAATTATTTTAAGATTAAAAATTATACGTGGTAAAGCCATGCTGCAGCTATATTAGTAGTAGTTATAGTTGTAGCACGAATGGGTCAACTCGACCAGGGAAGAACTACGCTCTCACAGAATACCAGCGTAAAATAGTAATTTTGTTTGCGTACTGCTGTGTTTGGTAAGGTGAGTGTAGAGAACCGGAGACCCGTTACGGGTGTGACAACGCATCTGCATTTTGATTCGCAAACGAGGATAGATGTAGATGTCTATGAGCCACGGCATCCACTCTACATCAGGTGGACAGTGTGCTCGTTTGTCACCTTTATACTGCAGAAAAAAACACTAAAATTGAACTGGGCGGGACACGTGTGCCGCATGTCGTCGTTTTGATACACAGCAAACTAGACGATATATTTTCTTCAAATGAGCACACAGTATACCCGATTGTAAAATCATGATAAAATGATGTTGCTTAATGACAACTGTTCATTTATCCTGCATTAACAATCAAAATGCAGATACATTATTACCTCTGAGGATGGAATGTCTCGCTACGAATTAAAAGGGTCTAAAACTTATTTCAAATTTCCGTACATAGATTTACTCAATATGTAATATTCACGCAAACATAAAGATATCATTAACATACCTAATGGTTTAAAAATTAAAAGTATGTATGTATTATATATTCATACATAAATACAAACATAGACACAAGCATGTATGTTTATATACAAACTTACATTCACTTGCTAGAGCTGTGGTAGCTCAGAGGCTTAGCGGTCGATGTAAATTTCACAGTACCCGGGTTCGATCTTCGCAAGCACTAATGAAATTGTTAATTGCAATTTTAAGTGCTGATTTACCACGTGCTCAGCGATAACAGGAAAGATCGTGAGGAAACCGTCATGTCTGAGAAATAAAAAATAAATAAAAATATTTCAAAGACGTGAAGTCCGCCAACACGCATTGGGGCAGCATGGCGGACACTTCCTTTCCCTATAATCCTCTCAGGAGTGGAGACCTATGCCCAGCAGTGGGACGTATATAGGCTGTAACTTTTACATACACTTGAAAAATATTACCATCCTTCTGGGGCAGTCGAATAAAAATAAATGATCTGATGAGCGATGAAATCAGAACGATCTATTGTTATTTCCAAAATTAAGCGTATATTAGGTCGAATACTAAAGATATCATTCCTTTCCTTTTGCATTAAAAAAATAAAAGTTTTGGGAACTACAAATTTCCTTTAAACGAACTTAGTATCGAACTAAGCAAAACCCGAATCCACTGCAAAGGATCAATGTTTCCACAAATCGTGTTAAACTGAAAACCACACCGACGGCGCTTAAGTGGCCGCGTTCCCGTCGCCACTAGTCAGTAGTTTCCGGGACACCCTCGTGATTGACTTCGTTATCGACAAGGAATTTGCGGTTACATTCTGGCGAGCTCCTTAAACGTAGTAGTAACGTAGCAACGTGGATTACGGAAAATTACACTTAAATACAAAATGCAATTTGAATAATCTCTTGTTTAATAAGATTTTTTTTTATAATTATATCAGGGTTTTTAACATATGGTGGCAGTGTAAGAATATGCACTACCCTATATCATCCCGTGGGTGTCGCAAGAAGCGACAGCAAGACTCTTAGCCAGGAGATGGGCAGCAGCATAACCAGATGCTGACCGGCTCACTACGAATGTGTGGCAACTATGGATAATATCCAATCTATGGGTAGACCTATGTTCAGTAGCTGACTCTTTTGGTCGGTAATGGTAATTGTAAAATCGGGGTTCGTTATTTTTATAAAAAAAAAAAAGGTTTTGCACAGAGATTGTGAAGTACGTGATTCTGAAGACTAAGATGAAATGAATGCATTAGCTTTGTTACTTGTTCTTCGCCTTTCATGATCTCGCTGGCAGAAGTTAAGTAAGTGAACGCATCAGCGTTAAATAACTTCAGGTTAAGACGTAGCTTTTACCCAGACATTCAAAACTATTTCTATACTTTATAACGTTTCAGACAGTACTTATTTGCTATTTGATTCTATTGCGTTCAAATAAAAATTGACTAGATATTTTTTTTTATAGGATAAGAGTGACAAACGAGCACACAGTCCACCTGATGGTAAGTGGTTGCTGCGGCCCATAGACATCCACATCCATCCTCTGTTACAAATCAAAATGTAGATGCGTTGTCACGAGATAAAGAGTCTTTTTGTACACACTATCGTAACCGTTTCAGTTTTTGCAAGCATAATAAAATGAATCGGAAAATCACGAACCGTTTTTACCTACATTTCATCAAGATTACATATTACTATTATTTCGTAGACGGGGATCGCGATCATAATTGGAAAGTATAATATACTAGCTCACCCGGCAAACCTTGTTTTGCCATATACATTATTTCTAAGAAATAGTTTTTAGTTTTAAAAAACGGGGGGGTTAGTCGTATAAGGGTGAAATTTTTAAGTTGTATCATTTAAGGGTTTGAAAAATAGACGTTGGTCGATTCTCAGACCTACCCGATATGCAGACAAAATTTCATACAAACTGGTTCAGCCGTTTTGGAGGAGTTTGGTAACAAACACCGCGACACGAGAATTTTATATATTGGAATAAATGAACATTATAATAATTGAAGAATACCCATTGGAAGCCACACTTCACACAAACTGCACAAAAGTTTATCGGTAAAATAAACTGATTATACTTATCATTACTTCTTATACCATTTTTAAGAAGCATATTACCCTTCAAAATACCATTTGAGGTATTTTCAAGGTTAAGAATAAGAGTTAATGAACATACTCTTGTGTTTATAAGAAACTTGCTATGCCTAATGACGATTTTAGTTATAATAATGCCCTCATGAGTAGGGTTGCCATCTCCTAAAATGAAGAACCGGACTCGGCGCTCCAAAAAGCCGGACTTTTGGCCCTAAAAGCCGGACAGTAATTTTTAGCCAAACATACCTTTCTAAGGCCATGCAGCCAAAAAACTCATTAACTCCAACCCCCGAGAAAAAAAAAACTAAAATATTCCGTTACATACGTTAATTGTTTATTAATCAATCACAGCACAGTTTCAAGTGTATACGTTACTTATTTATTTATTCTGCAAGCCATGCGTGCAACGAGTTACACTAACAAAAAGCCTAACAAAAGCCGGATAGGCCGGACACATTTAAAAATTTGGCCGGACACAATCCGAAAATGGCCAAACATGTCCGGCTCTAGCCTGGCACTAGATGGCAACTCTATTCGTGAGTCTGACACATATTATTATGTTCATAATATATTAACTCTTGAGTTAAGACACAAATGTTTCAAAAAAGGCAAACTGAGGTAGACTTCGCTGTTATTGGGTATTAAAAAAATATCACATGTCGTTTTATACAATTTCGGGCATATCAATGTTAATAAAAGTTACATCCTACATACGTCCCACTGTTGGGCACAGGCCTCCTCTCATTTCTGAGAGGGTTTTTAGTGCAAGGAAGTGTCCGCCGCGCTTCGAAATATTTTTTTTTTATTTCTCAGACATGCAGGTTTCCTCACGATGTTTTCCTTCACCGCCGAGCACGTGGTAAATCAGTACTTAAAATTGTAATTAACAATTTCATTGGTGCTGGCGGGGATCGAACCCGGGTTGCTCGCGTACTGTGAAATTTACAGCAAGGACTTACTATCTGAGCTACTACGGCAGTAATTTAAAAATCGGAAGATCTTTTGTCCTAACGGTTTATAAATTTGGAATGTATTAACTTTTAATTTAACAATATAAACAGAAAAAAAAACAGCTACACATCCACTTCTGGGTACAATCCTCCTTTAATTTCTGAGAGGGTTTAAGGAGGGTGGAAGAGTGACGCACTACCTCAAAATAAGTTAGCGGACTTGGTAAGTCCTCGAAATATTGTTTTTATTCCCAAATCTGACGGTTTTCTCAGGATTTTATCAAATAAGCACTTAAAACTCAAATTACACATTTCATTAGTACGTCGAATTCAGTTCGCTAGATGATATAATTTAAGTTGTTAAAAAATACGTCGCTAGTCCATCGATGAGGAAAGGAGGAAGCTCTCAACAAAAAGTAATGTATTTAGTACAGTACATTTGTATTTTTTTCTGTGGAAAGATTATATAAAAAAATTGCAAACCAAGTCAAATGTTACTTAAATTCTACGAGTAAATGTCATTATTTAAAGCTAGCTGTCTATCTTTCTGAATCCAAAAAAATGAAATTTTCCCAAGTGTGTACTGAAAAACATATTATCACAAACATGTCTAAGCAATACTCTCTTTGCTTATGTCGAGATCAGCGTTTACATTGTCCTTTGGCTGTGCACACGAAAACACATTTGCTGTATTTACGCAAATGTCACCTGCCGACATTCACATCGCCTTTAAGCTTAGCTTCCTAAACGTGTTTTGCATACTAAAACCTCCATAATAATAGATTTGCTTTACTTTTAGCACAATCTTCAAAAATAATTTTGAAGAATAATTTTTGCACATTCAAAGCAAAGTCAACGATTTAGCATCCAGAGTTTCATTACATCACTGCTTACTACCAGGTATGATACATTCATACCTGGTAGTAAGCAGTGCTCATGCTCTGGCTTAATATAATAATTAAAATGACATTATTATTTCTATGAAAAATCTACTGCCGTTTTGATAGTAAACAAAAAGTATATAATCACTACGCTTGTGTTATTTTACATACACACACATACGAAAATCTGCATTTTCTATCGACATCAAAAAGGAGACGGTATTCAATTCGACTGTAT